AAACTAAGAGGGCACCGTCCATCAAAGATGAGAAGAACAGTTATAGATGAGCAAGTAGATAACTCACAAAGAAAAAAGCTGAAGTAGGTCAACTGTAGCCCTCCATTGTATTAAATGTAAATAGAGTGATCACAGCAGTAGAAGTTGCTGCAAAAAAAAAAAGAAATCCTTCCTACTCAAACACTTCAATTAGAGGTTGACCTACAATACAATGTAATAATACTAGATGATTTGCATTTTCAGGAATTAAATTCAGGCAATATGAATGACTTAGTAAGTGAAGATATTGCACATTTACGTTTGATTTAAATTATTGGGTAATGAACTAACAATTTATTTTTTTTAAATGTGTTTCTTTGCTCTAGTCGACATATCTAGATAGAAATTGTAGCTTACTAACAAGACTAATGCTGAATGTGTGCACACAAGGATCATCAAACATAGGTTTGATGGTAAGTTAGTAAACATATTTTAATAAATACTCATGCAATTCAATGTTTATAACTACTAATTTTATAGGTCTATACATCCAAAAGAAAGAAGACTGGATAGATGAAGCTTAAAGGATAACATACATAATGAAGTTTTTTATATTAGCTTGTGTTTACACATTTTGAAAGACATCATCAAAGGACTTTTTTTATAACATGATTTTTTGAGTTTTATGGTGAATGATACTATCTTTATAAATGACTTTTAAGTTCCAATCATCTAATTATAATCCTTGAGTTGAGGTTTGATAATGAATGATTTTTATGTATCATCATCCCTACTTTCATTTTCCTTCAAATCTCAATAGTATTTGTTCTGCACCTTCAATTTATTTGAGATTGGTTCAACTTTATAATGACTATTTGATTATAACATGTTATATATTGGTTATTATATCTGTAATCTGATTGTTATTTCAAGAATGTGAAATGGAACACTCAATATTATTGAGATTAAAGAATAGAGCATAATAAACAATGAAATAGCCCTTATTATGTGGTAGATTAAAAAATATTAAAATAGATTTCATTCATATTAAAATATGATAAATAAGAGCAATGTTAGATTTTTCTAAAAAAATATTTTTTTTGCTCTTGTTATGTAGTAGATTAAATATATACTATAATTTATTAGATGATAAATAGAGAAATATAAATAATGTAATCTCATATCCACTTGTAATATCTAAAATACCTTTTAGATTTAACTTTGGAGTTAACTTCAACTCTTATTTTAGGCTTTGGAACTAAATTGACTCAATTTTTATTAATCGAGGGACTAAAATGAGGCAATACTAAACTTTGGGACTAAATTTGTCATTTATCAATACTCGAGGAACTATTTTGATTTTTCACTCCTCTATTTTCATTTAGGGTGCTAAGATCACTAAAGTCGATCGTATTTTCACAATCTTCAGAATATTTCACTTTTTGATCTAATATATCTCATTTATATTATCAAAATATCTCATTTATTTTTGTTGAATATGCTCTTATGATAAAATCACTTTTTGATTTTCATCTTTAATGTATTTCACTTAAACTAAATCCTTACTTCTATCTATTTGTTAGTAATTATAAAATCATTGGCTAGAGAAAAATCTAATATAATCCTACCACCTTAATTAGTCGCTCCAAACCCACAACCATCCTTAATGCTTTTAAAATCTTCTATCTCTCTATCAACATGTCCATTTATATCTCCTCCAATAATTTTTTTTTTCAAGAGGTATCTTTTGAATTAATTCATCTAAGTCATTCTACAATTTTAATTTTTAACACATATTCAAATCTACTTCAGGAGTATAAGCACTTATGATATTAATAATATTAGCATCAACAATAATCATTGAAGCTATAATTCTATTTCAAATTCTATTAATTTTAGTCACATTATCCTTCAAACTCTTATCTATAATCACATCTACCCTATTTTTAGTACATCTCCTACCTGAATACCATTGTTTAAACCCGAAACTATTAATCTTTTTAGCTTTCTCTCTGACTCATTTAGTTCTCAAAATGCATAGAATATGTATCTTCCTATGAATCATAATATCTATTAATTCCATTAATTTGTCTCTAAGAGAATCTATATTTCAAGTTCCTATCATAATTCTATTTTCATGGACCAACTTCTTTGCCCACATATGTTCGTGATATGGGAACCCTTGCTTATTAACACTGCACCCGGGCGTTGGTGCGTGTTTAAATAAAATCACCTTTAAGATTCTTTTGTAAATAGAAATCTTTTTATGCATCTAATCCATCATTTTAAAAATATTTATGAATTCATGTTTCTTCATCAATCAAATTTAACTGTAAAATATTCTTTTGGTCCGTATTTAAAGACTTTAGATGAGATGCTAATTATTATTTTTAAAGTATTAACTAATGGTTCTATATTCCTAGCATGAAGATAATTATAATATTTCTAAGACTAATTTTGTATAAAGCCTCATCTATTATCTTTGGTATATTTTGCCTTAATTGTTAATTTATTTTTTGAAATTTAACTAAAATAGATACTGATAATAAAATAATCTCTAAGCAAATAAGATTAGTTGCAAAATTTTCAAATCTAAGAAATATTCAAAATCATTATAGTGATCTCATTTAAAGTTCCTAAAATAATCTTGAAGTTGATCACTATAATCAATAAATGGCCAATATTATTCTGTAAGTTTGTATTTATGTCTAGGTCTGTCAAAATAGCTCGTCATTAATGAATAGTTGTTCGACTCACTAAGAAGTTCGTGTTTGTCTCATTTGATAAGTGGTTGAGTTGATATTGAACATTTGTTTTGATCTCATTTTCTTAACTAGCTGAACACCAACAGAGTCTTTTTTTTTTTCATATTCGGCTTGTGATTGGCCTGAAACTCAAAATTATATATATATTAATTATATTAAATATTTTTTTTTTCAAATTTATTAAGTTGTTAATATATCAATACTTTATTTGTCTCATTTCATTGCTTATTTTCATTTATTCGAATTTGACTTTAATTCGAATGATCCAAACATGAGCATGTTGTTCAAGAACAATTTCAAGTGAGTCAATTTCAATCAAACAAAAATTTGAATGAGTTGAACATGAATACACAACGAGCTTGCTCAAATTCAACTTGTTTACACTTATATTCATATCAGCCCTAGTAGATTTTGTTTTAGCATCAACAAATTCCCAAAAAAATTTAGCAAGTTGCATTTCATTTTTATAAATTTTATTCTTTGGAAATCAAATATATTATATATTTTTAAAAAATCCTTTACATTATCCATCCAAGTTGAAAATAGCTTAGGATGATACTTATTACGAACCATAGAAATATATTTGTTAACCTTTTAATAGTTGAAAGTGTCTAGATTTATTATTTAATTGATTTTATTTAAATGGCATTTTTTATTGTGGTAGTAATTGACATTGATATTTGTCCTATATATATATATGTCCTATATTTAGTATTCATTATGATGCAATTAGGGTTTTAAATGAGCTACGTATGATAAACAAATTTATCCTCGAGTTTGGGTCGTCATTGTTTTTTTATTGTTTGTGTTCAATTTATGTTTTTTATTATTTTATTTATTCGTGAACATAAACGAACACAAACAAACATAACAATAAAAAATGGGATTTTCATAATTTTGAATTAAAAAAAAAAAAGAAAGAATTAAACTCAAGACCTCTCCATACAATGACAAGACATACAACTACTGCATTATGGTTTAATTTTTGCATTATTTTCACAAAATTTTATATCTATATATTGTATTTAATAATATATTTGAACAAACTTTAATAAGTTGTACACAAGCAAACAAAGCTTTATTTTGCGCTCAATTTGTTAAAAAATTAGTTCTAAACAAAATGTTTATGTTTGACTTGTTAGCTAATGAATGAACTGAGCACGAACTACTTAATCAATCAAATATTTGTTGTTCACAAACATCGAACATTGGATGAATTTTTAGGCTTTGATATTAAATTTAATGTAAGACATCTTAGGGTCTAAGATTTTTTGTACAATTAAAGCCTATTCAACAACAGTATCAAACTTTTATCCCACTACGTGAGGTCGACTACATAAATACTTTTTCTCCAATATCTCCTATTAAGAGCCAAATTCTCATTTAAATCTAATAAAAAAAGTCATTTTTAATGCTTTATAACCACGTCTTTTTAGGTCTAGTTCTACTTTTTAAACATAGGCTACATCTATTGACCGAGTCATCGGAAGACTGATGTTTCATGTGATCAAACCATCTAGATCGACTCTCTCTAATCTTATCTGCCACTGGAGCTACTCCAACCTTTTCACGTATATACTCGTTTATATTCATTTACAAAAACCTATTGAACATGCATGGAAAATTCACAAGTTACAAACTCTTAATCTTTGATAGTGATTTACTACTTACAATAAAAAAATAAAAAATATATGAAAAAAGCCTCATGCTTGTATAAGGATATAATAAATTTTGTAAGGAAAAGTTGAAGAATAGAATTCAACATAAGCATGAAAGAAAGTCTCATGCTTGTATAAGGATATAATTGCTTAGAAACCTTCGCTTGATCAAAAAATTGAATCATAGAAGTAGAAAGATTAGCACATTCAACTAAAATTTTATACAAATGCTGGTTAATTATTTTGTACATGATCTGATTCTTCTTTATAATCACAATTATATTGAAAATTTCTATCCACGGAATTACAGAAGAAGAAGAAGAATCTCGATTGGCTTATCTCCTGAAATATTTTTAATTACAAAGCATTGCTTTATTTTCTCAGCAGTTAATTTTGCAGTAAAATTTATCAGGAATTGAAAGGAACCGTGAAACAGAAAGCTTGTGCATATATCTTTTCTGCCTACTGTGACTTGACTGTTATATTATAGTATTGTTCATGTTTAAACACTCTTTAGTCACTCTATCTCCTTTCTGAATTTTTTCCCAAAGTTGTGTAGTTCTCCCAGGAGATAAACTACTCATTTTATCAACTACAGAAAGGATGCAAAGAAGCTGGAAGAGTGGTCTCGGTTACAAAATGCAAATTCTTTAATAGACTTTTCATCAAGAGACGGAGATGTTGAAAATATTCTGAAAGATATTTCCGAACGAGCCCAGGCTAAGGGAAACTTCAGTTATAGTCGATTCTTTGCAATTGGGCTATTTCGTCTCCTTGAACTAGCAAATGCCACAGAACCATCAGCATTGGAAAAGGTTTTTTTTTTTCTTTTTTGGTCTATGTGTTTCTCAGTTTATCTTATACGTCTGCTCGTGGAATGTTTGAAGCTCAGAATTCTGTTACCATTCTAAATTTAAAATTCTTTCCTGTTAATTTTGCTCCTTGAATGTTTGAAGCTCAGTTAAAGGAGCCTGTTAATCAACAATAACTGAAACCGGCGAGTAGGGGTGGGGAAAAAGAGTAAAGGGGATCAAGAAAGAACCACGAACTCGACTTATCTAAGTTGGTGGGTATTGCGCTATCTCCTTCCTCTCCAAGGATGCTCTCTCCACTAGAACTCACAAGTTCTCACAATGCTCCAAGCAAGAAAGCAAAATTCTCAAATAATCATTCATTAATCATAATAGAATAAAGTGGGGTTTTAAATAGCCTCCTACAACATGACTCGAAATAAAAGACACAAATGCCCTTTGGGCTTACATACGACAACTCCCATAAGAGGGGTACTACGGGAAAGAAAACACATAAGCAATTAAATAAAAATACAACGACTCTAAATGCCACATAAGCAAATAATAAGCTACATGAAAAATAAAATACATCAACGACTCAAAAATATAAAGACTCGATCGTGGCCGTAGATCATCAGCCGCGTTTCTGATAAACTCTCCATGATGATCTGATGTCCCCATGAATAACTCATATTTTCTTGTTTCTTATGTGTTTTTTGAAATTCGGATGGATCTTATTTTACTTTATTAATTCCATTGGCAATCAGGCTATGATGGTTCAAATTCATTCTACTAATGAGTTATTGATTTGTTATACATATAATTAATTTTCTTACCCCTGCGTTTGCCCAGACACGGAGGATCCTATCATGTTAAACAACTTGATTCAAGGAGATTGTCACTTCTAATTAATCTCCTCAGGAGGCTTTAATTTCTAATATCATAGATCCTGGAGGAAGAATCCTACATTGGTTTGAACTCAAGAGCCTAGTGGTTAGTTTTCTTAGGTTAGGTTAGCTTGCCTTGTAAAAAGGAAGGCAAAATAGGGAAACGGTGATTATGCGTGTAGCCTTAACTTAAGAAAAAGAAAGAAGATATTTTGGAATTTAAAGCTAGCAAATACATTTCATATGCATACTACTAGAAGAGTGAGAATGAGAAATGGAAGTAGCTACATCTTTGATGAAAATAATAATAATAATAATAATATATATATATATATGTGCGCGCGCGCGCATACTATAAATATTTAGCATATGTGATAATTTAGATATAATAACACTTCTGCAAACTCAAGGTGACATCAAAGATGACAATTTAGTCTGAAAACAATAATTGCTAGAGATAAGTAGTCGAATTTGTTACACAGGTTGCAAGTATTGTAAGAGAAGTGTGATCGATCTGTGAAGGAGAGCTGTGTGAATTAGACACAGTCAGCAATGAGATCTCTATCAGAAAACACATATAAGAACCTTAAATAAAGGCATCATTAGAGAGCTTGGATGGACTTATCAATAAAGAGCATCAATGAAGAGTATTGATAGATATCCATGTCATTGACAAAAGCCACCAATGCAATCATCGCTTGTGCGTAACGGACCTAGAAAATTTTGTCAAGGGGGCCCAAATTTATTATAACAATTTCACCTAATTCAATCAAAGATAAAATCCAAAGATTTCTAGTAGCATCTTCTTAATTGACTGAATAGATGCAAGCATACAAGTTTCTAAACCCCGGATTGTTAAGAACTCTTTAATGGATTTGGGTGAATAAACATCCCATAAATTATTTGAATTTCATTAATTTCCTTCATTTCCCTTCAATCCAAACAAAGTCCCAATTTACTGGCATTCAACTTGAAGAGATTCTAAAGTTTAAGAAGCACCGTAACTAAAGGGTGGTGTAATGTGGTTTTTTTTTGTTTGTTTCTTTTAGCTGGTTTAATCTTAGAAGTATTTATATTCTGGCAGGATATTTTATTCTTCTGGCTTTGTTGTTGATTGTTGTTCTATGAGAAAGTTTCCTACAAGCTCAGATTGTTTGATGATAACCTGTTTTGTAAAAGCAAGGTGAAGAAGGCATATTTGTGCCCTGTAAATACGGGAAAAGGGAATCCAAGCTTAAAAAAAAAATCTTGCTTTGATTTAGAATGAGAATAGTTTATCCTAAAAATATAGGCAGCTCTTGAAGGTTATCTTCCTTTAGTAATATTCCCACTTTCAGGAAACAAAACTATTGTTTAAACTAAAGCTTCAGTGATGACTTGAATGTGGAAGAGAAACAATGGAGAGGACGGAGAAATGATGAATAATACTAACCTAAAGGCTGAAGCAAATTTGTTCTAACATCTTTCCCCGGCAATGGCGAGGTCGACTTCCGCGTGCGTCTGGGCTCGAGGTTGAAGAGAGGAGGCGGACGTCTAGCAGGTCTATGCTCACGGCAGAGGAGGAGGTCTACTTCTGTAGGCATGTTGTGTGAGTCTGTGCTCAAGATCTATGGAAACATCTAATGAATTAGGGCAAAATAAATACTGTTTTTTTTAGAAGGGGCACGTGCCCCGCTAGCCCCTCCTGAATCTGCCCGTGCGCTTGTGAGAACATAGATTACAGATGTGAACTCAACTTATTAGAAATAAAGGTGTCTAAGTGTCTTAATAGTTGCTAACAATGATCAATAGGTAACATCTAATGAGATGTGGTGATAGTTGAATGAGGTGTGGCATTATTGGAGGTTGGCAACGACATGCATGCAACATCTTGTAGGTGGCTTAATCAAAGAGTGCAAATATGGGTTTTGCTATCATTGACAAGAAACAGAGAAGCCAATTTCCTTAATGTTCAATGATGATGTTTTAAATCAAAGATGATATTCTCTGGTTAATTGAACATTAAATATTCATAATTGCTAGACTTATGTTCACAGTGGTCATCCTTACCAACTAGTTAAAGCTCCATTCAAATTGAATCTTCAAAATTCGCAACCTAAATCGGTTATTAATAAATATTTTGATTATATCCGTTTTACCACGTCTTATCACGATACATCTCTTTTGTTAGCTTGTCTTTTCAACTGTGCTTTGAAGTTGGTTTAATTACTGATTCGTCACATTCAGGTTCTCTTCAATCAATAGGGCAAGACAAATGGAAGCTATCTAGCTTTTTGGTTAATAGTACTTGATCTTCTGGCTAACCTTTAGCAGTTATCCTTCGAAGGAGGCGCTCAGTACTTGCTTCATAGTATAGTCTTGAAAACTATTCGCATGTTGCTCCAAAAATGCTTTGAAACATCTAAGGCTAAGTTTGAGATGGTTTTTTTACTGTTTCTTAAAACAGTTTTTTTATTCAAAAATTAAATCTTTTTTACTAAAAAAATATTTTAAGAAACATTAACAAAGCCATCACAAACGAAGCCTAAATCGTAAATGTGTGATCTTTTGAAGGTCCTCCTCCTGTTCAGTTAGACAAATGTTTTGATTCCTTGGGCAAGGAAGGATAGTCTTGCTTAGTAAATGTACAGTTGTCTATTGATCGTCACATTTTTAAATTATGTATTTTATCATTAATTTTGTACACCCATATATTCATCTTAACATTTTTATTTCTATTTCACTAATTTGACTATGAACGATTCTTTTAATGCCTAACACTTGAATTTATGTAATATGGCTAATGTAGTTAAAAGAAATTTATAATATGCAGTTCTCTTTATCACATAATATATTTGATGCAATCCTCTATTTTAATCATCTAATTTTAACACTCAGAATTATATTTTCATATGTATCCTTATTTTTTTTGTTTAATACGTTTACTAACTGCCTGTATTTATATTCTTTATTCGATGCAACATTATAAATTCACTTGTTATTGTCGTTTGGCTTAAAGTAGGTTACTGCTTTTTGGCAGCTTTGTGCAGCTTTGAAGATAGACAAAAGAAGTGTTGATAGGGACCTTGATGTTTACCGCAACCTACTGTCTAAGTTGGTTCAGGCAAAAGAGCTTCTCAAGGAATATGTTGATAGGTAAGAGATCTCTATTGGCATGCATAAAAGAAGAGGAAAGCAACGAAACTTGTTAGATGGGCACGATTGAACTTTTGAACCGTCTACTTATCATCAAATGTTTCTTTGTGGTTCATTTTAAGATCTCTTAAGATATGAAAAAGAATTCTTGAGTCTATTATGTTTCTAACTTAATTTAGCATAGCAAACTTGAGTATAACATAGAAGAAAGTAGGATGGGTTAACTTTTAGTTAATTAGAACAATGGTTTTGAGTAGTTAACTTCTCTTTAATGCAAAGTGCTATATAATCCTTGAAACCATGAATGATGTTTTAACTAGTTCCTCTTTATACATCTTCATGTTGTGAAATCTGGTACAAATCATAGAGGCCTGGAATTATATTTGTTTTAGAGATTTAATAAAGAATAATACAATTTTGCAGGGAAAAGAAGAAAAGGGAAGAAAGGTCGGGATCTCAGAAAGCTAATGAAGCTATTACCAAATGTATAGGAGACTATCAATATGTAAGATGCTAACTCGTCCAAGTTAGCAACTTGCTCGAAGAAGCTGCAACCAAAAAGTAACTTTTGTAAGTCTTTTAAAGAGTACTCATGTCATGTTATGTTTGACATATTGCTTAATTATTATTATTTTTTTTAAGTAAAATGGGATTACAGTGACATAGTATTTCACTTTGATTATCTTCGTGCTTTTATTATATATATTTTTATGTTGTTTTCATTTGTAATATGTAAGATGATGAATCTAAAAGCATTAATTAGATTATCCAAAGTTCTAAAGATATTAGGAAATTGATATATGCAAATTATGCTCTTATTCCATGAAAAAGAGTTTAGTTTTTGAAAGAAACCAAATGATTAGTTCAGTCTCTTGTTGAGGCATACAAATTTTCAACCACAAAGATTGCCCATTTAAGATTAATAGCAGATTAGATCATTATGCCACTGGCATACGACAATTAGCAAATAATGTGATTCGGGCCTGCAATGGTCTGTGTTTGGTTTGCCTGCTTGTCAAAATATTGTAGCATTCAAAATAACAGATAAATAATGTTATTACATAATATATTTTGTTATATATATATATATATATATATATATATAGGTTGCCCACAGATAGAGGAGAAATTATTTTGTGCGGAGACCGGACACAAAACGTCTTTCAGAGATTAACCAGAATGTGTCACGTCAACGATACCGAGCCGCGGTACCGAGTAATATTGAGCGAAGGGGTGACTTGACGCATTCCGGTTGGTCTCTAGGCGGTGTTCGGTGTTTGCACATAATAATTAATCATGATAGAGTAACCATTCATAAGGACCATGAGAGAGAGAAAGAATGGTTGGTTTCTATAGAAATCTACCAATATAGCTATAATAATCACAGCAACATACCTAATGAAGGTTTTGTTTGAGATGATATTTTTGCTGCATTTTAAGATAACTTTTTAGTACAAAATTTTTGTATTAAAGAGCTGTTTTAAAAAGCAGTAGAAAAACTGTCCCAAATAAAGCCAATGTATAACAATTGAGGTAGAAAGCAATCCAGAGAGCTCTTCCCCTCTTCTCTGTAAGGGTATTGTTTTTGACAAAAGGTCTTTCTTATTTTAACAGGGAGAAGACATTAATGTTTTTAATAGTGGTTATATTTTTCCTTCATAAAGTGATAAAGGTTTTGAAGTTTCAACTTTAAAAAAAAAAAAAATGGGGGCAAAAGATTGTTTGCTTCTTCCTTACTAAAATTGGCAAAGTTATGTTTTTGTACTTTTTTCTCTTTAATTTGATTAATTTGTAATCTTTGCATACACTTTTCTTAATACTTGGTGGACTATTTTGATCTTTTTCTTTTTTATTGTGGGCGAAGATAAATCTTAACCAATCTTATAAATCTTAGCATCTTGTTTTATGCTTATTCTCTTCTTTTATTATTTTTATGGTCCATTATATTTTCTTTTAAAGTTGATGCTTCTATAATTTAAATTAGGCATGCTCTCTTTTATAACAATTGGTATCAAAGTATGAGTTTGAGGAGTACAATTTCAATAAAGTTAGAGATTGAGGTTTCATTTGGGACATTTTTTTGTTGCTTATTAAAACAGGTTTTTAGTAGAAAAATTAAAATTTTTATACTAAAAATTGTTTTAAGAAGCAACAAAAAAATTCTCCCAAATGAAGTCTTAGATATTTAATTTTTCGAAGAAATTTTAGCTTTCGGAGAATTATTTAGCGAGGTCTAAATATCACTCCCCTAAAGAAAAGATTGAAAAAAAAAAAAAATTGCTTATGAATATCCTGATACAAAAGTAGGCAGGATGGGCTTTACATTTATTGAGTTTGCATTGAAATTAGTGCTATATTTATAATATCAAAGGACTATATTAATCTCAGTACAAATTATTATGAAAACACTATTATCATATTTTTCTCACAATGTTTTTTCCAAGGCCTGGGCGGACTCAAAAAAAAAAAAAAAAAGTGCTTAATGGGCCTAAGCCCATTCCCGCATAGACGGGAAAAGCATTTTATTAGTACCTCCCAATCCATTTGCATGTCAACTATTATTTCTCGTATACAAAATAAAAAATATCTTTATTTTTTCCACTAAGCTATTTAAAATCATATGGAACTCAAGATTTCGTTTGGGGCGACTTTCTTTTTGCCTCTTAAAGCAACTTTCTAATATAAATTTTTTTATTTTTTTTACTAAAAAAGCTGCTTTATGAAGCAATACAAAAGCCGTCCCAAAAAAACCTCGATCTCTTATATTCTTCTTTCTTGTGCGGAAAGTCTTTCATAAACCCATTTCTCTTTTAATTTCTCATAAAATATCTTTGCTTATTTAAATATAAGACTCATTTTATTTATCTAAGCCCACTCTAATACATTATTCGCATCAGAATATCTTGATACAATATTTACACGAAATTTGTATGTAAGCTACTCACATAGAATATAAATACTCACCTCTCTTCCTTCATTTCAAAGTTCGCTGGGCAAATCCACCTCACTAGACTTTTACTCCAGAAAATTAGGAAAGCAATTCACTATTTATTATGAAATATTTCTTTTCATAGGCTTTTTTTAATAATTCAAATTTTATTTAGCTATATTTCTTATTATTTTCCAACAATTTTTATAATAAAATTCACATTAGAATGTCCTAGAATGTTGCCAGGAGGCTAAGCATTCCTAATTAATAAGATTACCACCATTAAGTAGGTAAGCTGAAAAAAAACAAACCTTCTATGCAGCGACAACAAGCTAGCTAGGAAGAATTTAATTCATCGGACCAATTTGGAAATCTCCTATCAAAATTGTTAATGATTAATTATGTGACAATAATGCCATAGAATAAACCCACCAAATTTAGTCAATAGGCCAGATGTCATTAGCACTAAACGGTATTAGCGAAGCCAAATTGCCTTGATTACGCACTAATTAAAACATAGGCCATTAGGTCAAACCGATATGGATTAATGCTGTAAGCATGACTTGATTATTGATCTAATATGTTTCTCTTTAATTTGTACTATGAAAAAATGTAGAGAAATTAAAGGGGGCATACGACTCTATATGGAGCTTAATTAACCTTTCTCCACCATTATATATTAGATAAAATATACTTAAGAATCATTTTGTTTTATTTCATTCACTTTATAGCTTGCTTTTAATATTTAGAAAATGTTAAAAATAATATATATTTTAAACTTGATAATAGTTTAATTTTATTCATTTCTCTTGAAAGATATATATAATAAATCAAAGGTTAATATAATCATTAAACAAGTTGATCATTTGACCTATGATTTGTAAGTAGAATGACATATTTTATTGAGAATAATATGATAATTTTATTATTAATTTTAATGACTATATATATTATCTTTTGTTGATTTATTATATATAGATATTAAAATAGTATGTTCTACCATTCTATATCAAATAGTTTTTAATGCAAATTTATACAAATGTCTTCAAATTAAAATAATAATAATAGTAAATTTTTGTCGTTTTCCAAAGAAAGGTTTGGGTCTAATTTTTCAATTTTATTTTGAAATATAGTTAAATTTATTACAAAATATGTTTGTTCACTATTTTTTATTATTTTATAATTATTTTATTTAAAAAGAGGCTAAAACGTGTCTAGGGAGTTTTTTAATAAATATTTAAATTTTAATAAACCAAATTGTAGGCCACATATATAGTCTTCCTCGAGGAGGATGAGTCTTGGGTTGCTGAGGTCTCAATTTGATCCCCCTCACTGGAGGCCTTACACATGGGTTGGAGTCTAACTAGAATTAGTTAGTGGTTAAAATTGGCTAATTAGTAGAATAATTAGTTTAAGTATATCTTGTAAGCTTATAATTATCTCAATTAGGAGGTGTGAGGTCATGATCAAAGTAAACTCCACATTCAAACACGCACATAAACCTCATCTCTTAATCATAAAGCGCCAAAATATGTTAAGAGGAATCAAGAGCAGAACCCCCTTAAGGTCAGGGGGCAGTTGCCCCCCATATATAAAAAAAATTTCTTTATTATATAGTTGTTTAGGTAATTTGTCATTCTCCATCTATTTTTTATTCTTTATTACAAGAGTTTTTAGGCAATTGATTCCCCTAAAACTTTTAAAATACTAATCATTAGACAATTGTCTCGCAACAAATGGTATAAAGTGATTTCATCATTTTATTTAATTTGAATTCCAAAAAAATCCTTAAAATCAAAATTTGTTTCAGGCATGCATTGCCTCTTGACCCCGCGACCTGACCGGTCAGATCGAACACCCCCTCTGAAAATTGAGGTTGATTCCGCCCCTGAGTAAAATCATCATTTTCTCGTGCATGATAAAATACAAGACCGTGAAAATTATTTTTAAATAATAAAATCAACTATCCATCTAGCATTACGTACAAATCAGCCAGCAGGAAGGCATAGATCGACCACTCGTTTGGGGATGAGATCTAGCTACACGCCATCGAACGCTTGATGATATCTTCTAATGGCCATGCATATGTAGTATGTGACGCACCGTTCATTAAACTGTGCGGTAATTTGGCTCAGGAATAAAACAATGGTAGGAGTTGTTACGTTCGTTGGCACCATACACGTACGTACATGAATGCAGAAGAAGAGTAGGCTGATATCAGCACGAAGAACAAAAAATAACTGGTCGAACTCGCTACGTGTCGTGATATATATCTGCTCTTAATATTTACTTTCTATATCTTTATATATAGTCCTGCGTGTAGTATTGCAGAGCCATGCGCATCTGATCGATATATAATATGTGGAAAGACTTCAATTGCTGAGTCTCTTTAGAATTTTCTATATCATGTGGGTCTCGGTCTTGCATGCATCAACCATAAATTAGAAAAATATTCTTAGATGCAAACAATGCAATTTTTTTTGTTTTGTTTTGTTCAGTTCTCACATGTCTGATAAGGATTTGGCGATGGGGGTCAACTAATTAATCGATGTGAATGAGGGGAATATAATTCTCTCTCTCACCTGCGGCAGGATGACTTTGTGCATCTAGACAAGATTGAGAGAAGGCTTAAAATTAATGAGAAGAAAGTGTACATAGGCCTAAGATATTCTACGAGGAGAATAGAGAAACAACATGATTAAAAGATGAGATAATTGAAAAAATATTTAAAAATTTAAGTGATCATTTAATGTGAGCTTGCATCTATTGCGTGGTGAGCAAAGAGAAAGTATTCGCTGTTCGAAAGAAAGTAAATTCATACTGTCAATTTATGAGTTC